GAAGTAACAATAAAAAGCTGTTGAAGCCACTCTGTATAACATTTAAGCTAAAACATAAGAAAAATTATAGTGTTTATCATAAGTGTTTATGAACCAAACGTTCAGGAAGAAAATAACAAATTTCCAGCCTAAAATCTTGTCAAAACCCACCCAAAAAAAATCATCATTTATTGGGGTTTTAATGCTACAGCATTTCTGTGTCACAATGGTGGAAAGATTTTTATTTATTTATTTTATTTATCAAAGGCAACACAACAGACAAATCGTCACATAAAACACTTAAATCACAATTTAAAACACATTTAAAATCACAAAGGTCATTAAAAACCTCAAAACATTAAAACCACACAAGGAATTAAAAAATAAAGAGTAGAAAATAAAAAAGAAATCATACGTTTAAAGGTGGGGTACCTAATTTTCAAAGCACAAAAACTATGTATTAACTGTCGCTCTGAAAACAGGCTAGTTTTCACATGCATGCCTTTTTTGCCTATAGGTCACAACTTTGGCTATTTCAGACACAAAAGATAAATAAAATAGGACCACCCTCCCTTAGCCAATCAGCTCTCAGCTCTCAGATTCAAATAGTGACTCACGAGTGGCTCTCGTACATGTTTCCTAATAAAACGACAGCATGATGTGGTCAGAAAACTATACCACAATTACCTTTACAAAACCGAATACTTGCAGTGTTATTTATGAAGCAGAAAAGTCAGGTATCCCAGCTTTAAATAGTGTGCGTAAATATGTGATTATGAATGATGCAGTGATATAGTATATTATCACCTGAATACAATTACTTTCCACCACTGTTTATGTACAATTATAATGCATGTATTTGTTGTAGTTAAGTTTCTCTGCCATGATTTCCCCAAAAAATGATGATGAGAAATGATTTATTACTAAAATTGGTATTTTACTGGTATTTTCAGCTCTGAACATGGTTAAATCAGCCCATACTGGAACACTCAAGTGGACGAAACAGCCTGGGACCTCATGAAACGCGATCAAAGGCTCTAAAACAATACAAATCTCGGTTAAGACTTTAAATACCCTCTCGGATGTTATGTGTGGCTTGGCAAATACAGCAGCATATGTTGAAAAATGATCAGGAATTGCTGAGCTTGCGTTACAATCACTGCGTTCTCTCTCTCTCTCTCTCTCTCTCTCTCTCTCTCTCTCTCTCTCTCTCTCTCTCTCTCTCTCTTTCTGTGGCAAAAGAAAAAAATCCTAATAATACTGAAAAGCTCTATTTTTGTACAAAGGTGTGTACGCCTCAGCTCCGGGCGTCGTCATGGTGAAGCTTTTGTTGTTTTGTTGAGCGGTTATGTTTTTTTTTTTTGCGTTGCCATGTTGTTGCCAGGCGAGAATGTCAAATTTCATTCTTAATTTCTGTCTGTTTTTGAAAAAGAGATGAAATTCTGTCTCTGTCTGTTCTTTGTGGTATGTTCTCGGATGTTCTTTCATGAGCATTAAATGTTATGAAACAAAAAAAAACAACTGTGTGTTTGTTTATTCAGTTTTTTTGGTTAAAGCTGAGGTATGTAACTTTCTGTAACTTTCTGTTTCTTATGTCATAAAATCCTTCTCTAAACTCTCAAATTGCTAGTTTTCACATGTATGTACTGTTGCGCCTCTGTCACATCTTTAGATAAACTTTTTCCACACAAAAAAAAGATAAAATATAAATAAGTCTTGGCTGAGTCAGACTCCTGCTGTGGTATATATATATTTGACTATTTATAACTTTTTCTTTTGGGACAAGTAACATGAATTTATTAACCAAAATATTGGGTACCTCAGCTTTAAAAAAATGTGTTGTGTAAAATAGTTCTATGCCCAAGAACAAAGCATTAAAGGTGATTTTCTTGGGTTCTTTAATCAGCGTTTTTATATCTACAGTACCTCCATCACCAACATAATGTCAATATTGCAAATAGTGGCTCAATGGCTTCCAATGATCTGCCAGTGGATCAAGAAAAAAATATGAATAACGTATTGAACAATAATGTATTATGTATCTTCAGTCTCTAGGAGTAAAAAAATTTCTAAAATACAGTGTGATTAGATAAACTCACTTAAATCAAGTGAACTACACTATTCTATATTTTCACTTCTACATACAGAGACAGGCAGACAGAAGGTCCTGGATTGAATTCCCAGGGCAAACCTGTGTGTGGAGTTTGCATGTTCTCCTCCTGTATAAGATCTCCTCCAGGTTTCCCCTACCACTGAACACAAGCATTCTACAACATTTCAGGGTGAATGAGAAATGAGTGTTCTGCTGCTAATGTACAGATGTAAACATATAACTACACAGTACTTAAAACCTGCCTCTTATTGCTGAATGTAAAACGTTTACATTTCTTTGTATGATTATTTTAAAGATAGTTTTTATACTTTTTATTGATGCTAGAGTTAGATTTTGTTTTATTTTAATTAGTATAGCTATTGTTTACTTATCTTCTCTTGTGCTGTGTGCTCCTCTATAAGTGAGCTAGGGGATAACTGAACAGAATGAGGGAAACAAAAGAGCAGTTTTTAACACAAATCGTACAAAAACGTGTTTATTGAGTCACAAATTGTGGTGGTCAAACATATTCCAGAAAATCTATGTCCAACTACGTACAACAGAGGCTGGTTTTGTGCATAGAACTAATGTGATCTAACAGAGCAGACGAGGAAAACAAAAAAACACAATACAATCCAATGGAATATGTACAAAACCTTCATTGAGGGGAAAAGGATTATTGGTTTCTTATTTTACTGTGAAGTAGGGCTGCAAAATATGTGGAAAAAATTAAAACTACCAGGATTGCAATTTTACAAACGCTCAAAATGCATTAAATTGGAAAGGCTATTTAGTAGCAACACCTGGATTGGACTTTAACTTATGGAAGAAACTTGGCGTGTAATGTTCCATAGCGCTGCATTAAACTCGGGTAAGAGCTGGTGACCCCCAAAAAACAAAAAAATAGGAGGAAAAACGCGAATTAAAGCAATAACACTACATTAACTCTCGAGAAGCATAGATTCAGCCATTTCTAGAATCCTTAACTTGACCACATCCAGAGCGACTGTCTAGAGGCGAACCGAGAATGATATTATGGACGCTAACACAGAAGGGGGTGCCAAAAGAACCACTACACCGAAACGCAATGCCTATTCTAACGAGGACGCCAAGGGGAAATGCTTTTGTCCATAACTGGGGAGTCTAGAGGCTAAAAATGTGTTAGCTACTCTTACTTTGCAAATAAAAATAAAGAATGTATAATGGATGTTTGAGATTGTATCCCTTATGAATATTCCAGTTATGTGCCTTCTGACACAGGAGCAAAGTATACGTTTCGACTTCAAAAACACAACATTGAATAGAATGTCATACTATGAAACATTTCTGCCAAAGCACTACTTCTATGATAACAAAGAGCCACTCCCTCCCTCAGAAAACAATTAGGATTAACACCAGAAAATGCCATTCTATTCTATTTTATTCTCTTTGCATGAGACTTCTAGTAGGACAGAATCAAGATAAATGATCTATTCCACGCTACTGTACATTTTTGGATTCTTGCAGTTTTCTTTTCTTACATTATGTGATATTGCGATTATTTTTCCACTATTTTGAGCAGCCCTAACTCAGACAAAATGCATTTTTCCTCCAGTTTTGAAAAAGTCTGGTAGAGCTGAGAAATGTATTCCAGACTTGATGAGACAGGGCAGCTCCAGTTGAAGTCAGATTGAAGACATTAAAGGACACATAATGGGCTATTTGATAATTAAATACACAATGAAATATTTTAAGAAACATTAAGTACATTTGAAGAAACATTGGCTGCCGAATAAGATACTGGAAATTCCATTCTCGTTACGTGTCCATGAAAAAAACAAAGACCAGATTTGTCAAAATTACAACTTAATCCCCGTTTCCACCAGCCCTACTTGTCCCTACTCTACTCAAATCTCCCCTGACTGAGCGTGTTTCCATTGACGCGGTTTAACTGGCACCAGGACTTTTAGTCCCTGCTTGGCCCTGGTTCTATCCAGGCCGAGCTGGTACTTAAGTGCTCTAACTGACAGATTATCCAGAGTGCTGCTGGAAGCCATGATTACCAAGTATTTTGCAGGTAGGTTGCTAGGATAAAGTAACAGACACTAAAGCGTAATGGAAATACAACCAGATAGGGTCGAGCCGAGTAGAGCCGGTCCAAGAAGGGTGGGTGGAAATGGGGCTTAAGACCAATATACCTTTTTTTTACACAAATGTATCGAGTTTAAGGCTCTACATTTATCACTATCTTACACAGTACTTTAAGACTGTCTGACTTCCTTGTGTGAGATTGAAGGGAGGAACTTAAAGGGACTGGGTAAATAAATAAGGACCAGCCAAAAAAAAGAAAAAAAAGAAAACTAAAAAGTAATGTTGGGTTTTCTGACGATGCAACACAATAGGAATACATTTAAAAAGGAATTGAGGAACCATTTAATAAACTGTACACTGGGGAAGTAAGAAGTCAATTTAAAAGTGCATATGACTAGTTTGCAGTTTATTGATTAATTACTGTAAACAGAAGACGAGCTTGAGAAATAAGAGTTGCAAGAAGAGAGTGATAATAAACGTTTGAATTTGCGAATTTTGAAAACAAATTTCAGCAATACAATTTGTCCAGCGGTTCTCAAAGTGGGGGCAGTATAATATACAGTACATATCACAACAATACAAAAGTGGTGATGTTATTTCAATAAATCTCCCAAATCTTTTCAAATTAGTCCAATTTTCAAATACAAAATTGTATTTAAGTGAAATTAGGTCAAAATTAGACATTCATAAAGCAGCCATATGCACCTTTAACCAGACCAATCGTGGGGAAAGCCCGACACATTTGCTCGTTTAACACTGCGTTGTGGGGATTTCAGATAGAAAAATGTTCTTTATTTTAAAAAACAAAATAAAATATGAAAGATTTGAGACGTGACGTGAGTGGAAGGGAGGAGAGCTCCTAACAGTCGCTTCTCCATAGCTTGATGGTTTTGTCATTTTCTAAAGCTGCGGAGGCGATGATGTTCTCTGTAGGATGACAGGCTGTAGAGATCACCACATCTGCAAATATCACACACAAGTTCTGTTAGGACGTGTGTATAGACCTTATTTAAAAAAAATACAACAATTATGCATCTCTTATTGGAGGAGAGAATGTCTACAGAGAAGGGGTGTCAAACCTGTTCCATTTCTGGAACAGGTTTGACACCCCTTCTGGCGAGACCATTGTCTTCATGTAAAATTGAAATTGCACTAACTTTCCTCCCCTTTCCATTCCTGGGTTGGGGGTTGGCAATCTGGGCAGCCACCTAATTCCCGTAGCACTAACCAGAACTAAAATAATAATACGGATTATAAATATGTACACACACAGGGTGCGTTATGCCAGGGGAACAGATTCATGTTTTCTAATGATTCAGATTGAGACAATTTGCCATTTGCAGTAAAACCACATTGGAATAACTGTGCAAAACTACGGAGTGCAACAGTCAGAGCAGATAGTACACACCAGAGTTCTTGCCATAGCGCCATGTTGATTTTTATTTGTAAAGAAAAAAATTCTCAGACAAGAACCAGCTTCAGGGTTAGACCTTAAAGTAGTACTAGAATTTAATATGCTGCTATCCAGAATATATAACTACAATATGTGTTTATAATATTTCGGGTGTTCATTTTGACATGTTCAGATGAATTATGTTTAAAAAACGGCTTTAAGTGGCACCTTATAACAAACGCTAGGGGGAACCAAAATGGCGGCGATGACGTAGGAGAATGACCTCTCACAGCAGCAGCAGCAGTCTAGGCTGGAAACTGTAGGAGGTTTCACTGTCATCTGAACAAGGTATAAACATATTTTCATCCGTTTTGTACATAATAGTGTGCAACTCTTTTAACCTTTTAGCCTTATTTGTGAGATTCAAGCTAATTGTTGGGCAAGTTAGCTAACTCTACTTGATATCATAAAACATGCTAACAAGGCTAATATTCATTTTCACATTATGCCAGTCTCACTTTGGTTGCCTTAGATTTATTTACCACAATGTACATTGTAATATCCATAAATGCTAACACCTATTAACGGTTTAATTAGCATTTTTATCAATGATTGCATCACATGTAGTCTGTTTTCAACTTCTGCAGCTTTTTGTTCATAAATCAATTTTGATTAGCATTTTTGAATATTACAATGTACATTGTGGTAAATAAATCTAAGTTAACCAAAGTGAGACTGGCATAATGTAAACACGAATATTAGCCTTGTTAGCATGTTTTATGATATCAAGTAGAGTTAGCTAACTTGTCCAACACTAATTAGCTTGAATCTCACAAATAAGGCTAAAAGGTTAAAAGAGTTGTGCACTATTATGTACAAAACTGATGAAAATATGTTTATACCTTGTACAGATGACAGTGAAACCTCCTACAGTTTCCAACCAGACTGCTGCTGCTGCTGTGAGATACCATTCTCCTACGTCATCGCCGCCATTTTGCGCCCCCTAGCGTTTCTATGCGGAAGTGAAAAGGTGCCACTTCAAAGCAGTTTTTTTAACATAATTCATCTGAACATGTCAAAATGAACACCCGAAATATTATAAACACATATTGTAGTTATATATTCTGGATAGCAGCATATTCAATTCTAGTACTACTTTAAGAGCTTTTTAGGAGAGTTAGTGTCTTTCCCTACGCACACACACATCCACACCGACACACACAGTGAAGTTCCTCGTGTTACCTGTGTGTCCCTGTAGTTTCTGGACGATCTCTTTAGTCTGAAGGTTCCAGATGTACACCATGTTGTCCTCCGATCCGGACACGATCCACTGCAGACCACAGTTACAGTCACACACTCAAACTTAACACCTTTTGATGTCGTCACATTAGAAAGGCAATGTGAAGCAACCAAGGACTCATCAGAGCGTACCGGCTTTAAAAAAAGAATCATTCAAGAACGATAACGGGCAGATAGTGAGTGTGTGTGTGTGTGTATCAGAAGTTCCAGACATAACACCAAGAATGGGTTACATCCACAGTTAACTGATGGAACCATTTTGTACAGAGATAGAATTCATAAAAAGACTATTTTGAATGCATTTTTATGGTAACGCAGTAGCTTACCATTACACGCCCATTTTTTTGCACATGCACTGCAAATCTATTAGAATTTGGTTCTACTCCAGAATTGTGCAGTCCTAGGAAACACACATTCAAATACAAAAGAACAAATCCAGGTCAGCACTGTACCTTTCCACCGGTGACGGAGAAGTTCGCAAATATACAGTATTTCTCGTTTTTGTGGCCCGTGTAGGTCTTTAGACACTGTGGGAGGGGGGAAAAAAACATACATGAATATAGACAAAATGTATAAAAAACACGCAGAATCAGAAAATGGTTCGGTTTCACTTACTTTACCACAATAACAAAAAAAACCCATAAAAACACATTATCTTTGGTACACTGGTCGGCACTATTTAGACAGTGAATTTGTCCGTTCACATGTCCCAAATGTACTTTCTATTCCCAATACTCTATGTATGCTGTTGTATGAAAAGAATGCATTAAATTGTCAATAAATTCCATTAGACGTGGAGTTCTTATCTTTAAAGACAATTGCAAAGCATTTCCAGTGTTCTTTAAGACGCTGTTGTGATTTACTACTCCAAAATATAGAGTAGTAAGTTTCTAATCTAAATTACTCACTTTTCCCTTGCTGTAGTCCCAGAGCTTCAGCGTGCTACAGAAAAACACATAGAACAAGCATTAGAAATGCTTCTGTGGGGGGACAGCGCCATCTGGTGGCTAAGGCGGAACTCACTTGTCCAGCGTCGCTGCCAGGATGTATTTTCCATTTGGAGAAAACTTTACAAAAGACACCGGCGGGTTGTCGTCATCTGAGGATGGACAGGAGAATGTTTATCGGTCAAAAGAGTTTAAGGCTCAAGGTTTTAAAAATGAAAAAGGGGAAAGTCCTTACCTATGAGAGTTTTTAGACACTGCCCCGAAGCCGTGTCCCAGATACGGCTGCGAACGGGACACAAATAATAATGAATGTAGTTATTAGATGGAATTTATCATGGATTACTTTACTAAAGCTGGGGTACCCAACTTTCAAACTACAAGAAAATCTTAAGAATTTTCACATGCATTTACTTTTGGCCTCTGTCCAAATCAAGCCTCTTTATTTATAGAGAACTTCTTGCCACATCTTTAGTTTTATTTCTTTAGGAGACACCCTCACTCAGCGGTCAGCCCAAAACACCTAATAGTGACTCACTGGGCTTTTTCTTACAAGTACGCAAAAGGCAACAGGTTTTCTGATAACATGAAGACATTAGTTTGTGGTCTGATTTGTTGACAGCCTTTTACAAGACTATCTCTTTGGACAAACCACAATTACAGCAGCATTTCTTATCTAGCTTAACGCCGGACACAAACACGTACACCTGCCTCGAGTTGCTCTGGGGCGACGGGTGTAAAAAGCTCTCCTGCTGCAGCACATCTTTCCTTTTGGCTAATATTTATTGTACACCGTCTATGTGAAACCAAAAGCATACCACACCATACAAAATGTTCCCCATCTTAAATAAATACAATTATCTTTTTCACTTTTCAGTCTGAAAAAGCGCAGCTAAAAAGGATGTGACAGAGGCAGTGATATTTCCAAATATTGTGGATTGGAAGTTGCATTAATCAACTGGCTTGTGTTAAAACTAAATACATTTTATACATAATATGAGAAAAAGGTAGTAAGAGAAGAGTATTGAGGCTGGATGTGGAGCTCCATCAGAGGGACCAGTGGCGTCAGTGTGCCCAGGGCAGAGATGCTAAAGCTGGGCTCTGCTCACCCTACCCCTTGTCCTGCCCTCCTCGACCCAGCCACACTGGATATTTGCCCTTGTAATCAAGTTGTAAAATTGTCTGTTTCATACAATATTAAAATCTTACTAAGCGCCATTTCTCACCATAGACCGTCGTAGCTACTTGACACGATCAGGGAGCCGTCTCTGTTAAAGTGGACCTGCGGAGACCCAAAAACATTCCCGACGTCAGGTCCACGCGTCAAAAGGCCATCACCGTGACAACTGTCCAAACAAAACTCACCGCGGACACCGGGTCGGAGTGAGCCGGCAGCGTTTTTAAACATTTACCCGTCTTCACGTCCCATATTCTAACACTCTCGTCAAACTGCGGAGACATAGAGCAGAGTTAAGACACGAGAGACGGACGAGGGCGGGAGAGGGGTGTCTGAGCGGACATCTGGAGTGCATTTAAACATGCATACACAGACATAGAGACGAAGGCAGAGATAGACAAGACAGACCCACACACACACTGGGAGACATAGAAATAGACATTGAAACACACACAGGGACACTCTCACAGATACACAAACACATAGAAACAGACAGACAGAGACTTACCGATCCAGAGACGATCAGGTTGGACTGTGGGTTGAAGTTGCAACAGAAGACATAGTTGCTGTGACCTTTTAGAGTTTTCAGGCACTTCCCCTATAATCACATAAGACACATAAGGCAAGGCAAGGCAAATGTATTTGTATAGCACAATTCATACACAAGTCAATTCAAAGTGCTGAACAAAATAAGAAAGCATTAAATAATCACAGTGCATTAAAATAAAGATAAATATAAAATCCCTCAGTTGTATGCACAGCTAAACAGAACTGTTTTTAACCTGGTTTTAAACATTGTCAGAGAGGAGGCCTGTCTCACATCTTCAGGAAGATTGTTCCAGATTTTAGCAGCATGAATCTGAAATGCAGCCTCCCCATGTTTAGTCCTGACTCTGGGCACTAACAGGAGTCCAGTCCCTGTATGTAATATATTTTGGTGCGAGGCCGTGGAGAGACTTGTACACAAGCAGAGCTGTTTTAAAGTCTGTTCTCTGAGCCACAGGAAGCCAGTGCAGAGACCTGAGAACTGGACTAATGTGGTCGTACTTCGTGGTTCTAGTCAGGACTCGAGCTGCTGCTTTTTGAATGTACTGCAGCTGTTTTACAGCCTGTTTGGACAGACCTGTGAGCAGGCCATTGCAGTAGTCTAACCTACTAGAGACAACGGTTTGTTCTGTGTCATTGAAGAATTGAGCAGAAGTGTAGCCTTAGCATTAAAACATTTTATAATCATGACGCGCACTTCTTATATAGTGATTTACACACACAAAATTGTGGGTGAAGTGTCTTTCTTATGGATACAACGAAAGTTTGGCCGTTCACAACCAGAGCATCCCACTGTGGCACCTGGTGTTTGGGTCTCCCATCACAGTACTAACCAGGTTATACACTGCTTGACTTCCTAGGTGTGGCAGGATCAGGCTCATACATGCAGGTTGCACACAATTCTACAGGGATTAATTAATTATTGTTATTATTACCAATTATAGAGAGCATACAGTAGGACATTGAGTACCAAATATCTTGAACATGATTATAAAATGGACATATTTAACGAATCAACACAAGACAGAAGCCCTTTCATCTCACCGAGTTGACATCCCAGATCTTAAGGGTTTTGTCGTCAGACGCAGAGACCAGGAGGTTGGAGTCAGACGACCAGGCGACATCTGAAATTCCCTGGATGAAGCACAGAACCGCTTTTTACCTCACTGAGTACAGCATCACCATAAATGCAGTTCTAGTTTTCCTTTTGAGGATTCTAAAGCCTCGTCTTAAAAATAATCTATAAAAGTTAAACAATACAGAGAACAGGTAAACTGAGGAAACTGCAGCATTCATGAGTGAATGCTTTCTGAACAATTTGTACTAAAAAACAAAAAACTAACAGGGTCAAACTAGTTCCAGAAAGGGTTAGGGTTTTTCCGGCCCTTTCTGGAACTAGTTTGACACCCAGGATATAGACGTCACTCACCAGCTTGTGTCCAGATATCGTCTTTTCGAACTTGCCATCGTAGGCCCCCCAGATTTTTATTAATTTGTCGGCCGCTGCAGGACAATAACAACAACTTTATTTCTTTGTCTAATTGACTCTTATACAGTTTAATTAACGCTTGTTTCCTGTGGCATTTTTGAGCAGGCTTTTCATGTAGAAGCTAGAGTTCATTTAATCCAGTCACAGTTGCGTCTGCAGAAACGATATTCCTCCCACTCAAGGCTATTGGCCCTTATTTTATCTTCTTGGTTGGAGTTTGAGCTTTTTCCTCCTCTCCCTGACGTACAGTGTCAAGAGGGCTGCTTTCTGATTGGTTGATTAAAAAAAAAATCTGCAGAAGTTGAGGATTTCAACTCACAAATGCCATGTTAGGGCTGGTCTGTATTTAGTTTACTCGCAAGTAAATTAAATACATTTGTATGGAGATGTGAACCAGGACAGCAGATACAAGACAACAAAGAGCACTAGTAAATATCTAGCACCAATTCCCAGCTCCTTTAAGTTTTAACAAAGGTAAAGTGTAGTAATTAGCAACAGTGTTGATGAGCAGAGTTGATTGTGTCCTCTTAATGTGACGTTTGTGCAGTATACTCACATGAACTGGCCAACCACTCTCCGCTCGGGCTGAACTTTACCGAAGACACTGCCTTTGTGTGACCTGCTAAAGTGAACTTCAGGCTGTAGTTGGGCTTGGCGGGAGCAGACTACAAACAAAAAACAATGTGCATGAGGAAAAATCTGCGAGCGTTGAAGTCTGTATTGGTCAAATCTTAAAAACGATAGGTACGCAAATAATACCCATGATTTGAATACATTTCAGCAAAAAACATTAGCGGGATGAGAAAATAATTGAATTGATTTTTGCATAGCCCTAAATCACAACAGTAGTCGTCTCAGAAGACTTTACAAAGTTGGAGATTCCTCAAAAAATAAACAGCTAAGGATTAGGGTCAGATCAAGTCTCCACCTTCTCCAATTTAATTCTATTGATAAAGACTAATGTAAACCTGTGAGCGCCAATTGAGGTGCAAAAAACTAGCTGGTTTAAAGGGAATGAGGCGGATGAGCTGCATGTACACCAGTCAGATCAGACTGAACGAAACAAAAAGTGATGCATTTGAGTGCACTAGAAAAAGCCAGACTTAGAGTATTAGAGAGCCAGAGTATTAGAAACATGTGCATTTGGAAATATACGAAAGTATGCGAAAGTATTCGGCCCCCTTGAACCTTTCAACATTTCGCCACATTTCAGGCTTCAAACAAAGATATAAAATTAAATTTTTTTGTCATGCATCAACAACAAGTGGAACACAATCGTGAAGTGCAACGAAATGTATTGGATAATTTAAACTTTAACAAATAAAAAACCGAAAAGTAGGGCGTGCAATATTATTTGGCCCCTTTACTTTCAGTGCAGCAAACTCACTCCAAAAGTTCAGTGAGGATCTTTGAATGATCCAATGTTGTCCTAAATGACTGATGATGATAAATAGAATGCACCTGTGTGTAATCAAGTCTCCGTATAAATGCACCTGCTCTTTGATAGTCTCAGGGTTCTGTTTAAAGCGCAGAGAGAACCATGAAGACAAAGGAACACACCAGGCAGGTCCGAGATACTGTTGTGGAGAAGTTTAAAGCCGGATTTGGATACAAAAAGATTTCCCAAGCTTTAAACATCTCAAGGAGCACTGTGCAAGCATCCATCCATCCATTTTCTTCCCCTTAATCCATTTCTGGGTCAGGGGGGTGGCAGTCAAAGCTGCACCCAGTCCACATAGCACCAGCCCCTCACTGATCCTCCTGCAGGTGGTGAGTCCACAGGAGCTGAGATCTTTCAGTGGGAGCTTCAGGCAAAGTGGGGTTAAGTGTCTTGCCCAAGGACACAACGACAGCAGTCATCAGTGGGAGTCGTGAAGTAGGTCTTACGGTGGGATCGAACCCACAACCTTCAGGCTCTAAGGCCAATACTCTACCAACTGAGCTACTGTCGCCCCCCATTGTGCAAGCAATTATATTGAAATGGAAGCAGTATCAGACCACTGCAAATCTACCAAGACCCGGCTGTCCCTTCAAACTTTCATCTCAAACAAGGAGAAGACTGATCAGAGATACAGCCAAGAGGCCCATGATCACTCTGGATGAATTGCAGATAACTACAGCTGAGGTGGGAGAGTCTGTCCATAGGACAACAATCAGTCGTGCACTGCACAAATCTGGCCTTTATGGAAGAGTGGCAAGAAGAAAGCCATTTCTCAAAGATATCCACAAAAAGTCTTGTTTAACGTTTGCCACAAGCTACCTGGGAGACACATCAAACATGTGGAAGAAGGTGATCTGGTCAGATGAAACCAAAATCGGACTTTTTGGACACAATCCAAAACGATATGTTTGGCGTCACCCTGAACACACCATCCCCACTGTCAAACATGGTGGTGGCAGCATCATGGTTTGGGTCTGCTTTTCTTCAGCAGGGACAGGGAAGATGGCTAAAATTGATGGGAAGATGGATGGAGCCAAATACAGGACCATTCTGGAAGAAAACTTGGAGTCTGCAAAAGACCTGAGACCGGGACGGAGATTTATCTTCCAACAGGACAATGATCCAAAACATAAAGCCAAATCTACAATGGAATGGTTCACAAATAGACGTATCCAGGTGTTAGAATGGCCAAGTCAAAGTCTAGACCTGAATCCAATCGAGAATCTGTGGAAAGAGCTGAAGATTGCTGTTCACAAACGCTCTCCATCCAACCTCACTGAGCTCGAGCTGTTTTGCAAGGAAGAATGGGAAAGAATTCCAGTCTCTCGATGTGCAAAACTGAAAGAGACATACCCCAAGCGACTTGCAGCTGTAATTGCAGCAAAAGGTGGCGCTACAAAGTATTAGCGCAAGGGGCCGAATAATATTGCACGCCCCACTTTTCAGTTTTTTATTTGTTAAAAAAGTTTAAATTATGCAACAAATTTCGTTCACGATTGTGTCCCACTTGTTGTTGATTCTTGACAAAAATTTAATTTTTATATCTTTATGTTTGAAGCCTGAAATGTGGCGAAATGTTGAAAGGTTCAAGAATACTTTCGCAAGGCACTGTATGGGGCACTGAAAGAACGATAAGCAGTCCCTCGCTTCTACTCTGATATGAGTGAACATACAATTCATATAGTCAGAGGCTCAATGTAATATGAATGATGTCTTGAATGCCAATCATGAATGTTTTTATCTTGTTTTGACTGACTTATTATGCTTTGTAAACTCACTAAGAACACTGGGCCTCATTCACGAACGGTTCTTAGGAACAGATTTGTACGTAAATCCTACTTACGAGGTTTTTACGAAGAAAGTGGCATTCACGAATTTTTCTCGTAACCAAAATTTCTCTTGGGCAAGTACAAATCCTACGAGTCCTCAGGAGCACTCGTACGCATTCAGTGCCGACATGTTCACAGCCGGGGTTGTCCTCTTTGGTGAAGTTTAATAAAAATACAACATTCCAGTGATATGTCCGTCATATCGATGTATGTATTTATTTATTTGTAGTAATCTTTATTTATATACCGCCTTTTTCATTGCAGATCTGGCCTACTTTTTAATTCATTTTGAAATGAAATGTGCCAACGCTTTATCAAATACATTGGAAATCTTGCCGTGTAGTGACCCCTTCCTATTTATAGGGGGCATTTCTTTATCCACGGGCCACAGAACAACGGCATATATACTGCTGCTGCAGGAGGTTACTGGGTCCGCGCTGAGTCTCTGCGCTGGTCTCTCTTAGGATCTATACGGGTCTGCACTGGTCTCTCCCATGGATCTATACAGGTCTGCACTGGTCTCTCCCATGGATCTATACGGGTCTGCGCTGGTCTCTCCCATGGATCTATACGGGTCTGCGCTGGTGTCTCCCATGGATCTATACGGGTCTGCACTGGTCTCTCCCATGGATCTATACGGGTCTGCACTGGTCTCTCCCATGGATCTAGACGGGTCTGCACTGGTCTCTCCCATGGATCTATACGGGTCTGCACTGGTCTCTCCCATGGATCTAGACGGGTCTGCACTGGTCTCTCCCATGGATCTATACGGGTCTGCACTGGTCTCTCCCATGGATCTAGACGGGTCTGCACTGGTCTCTCCCATATACGGGTCTGCACTGGTCTCTCTCCATACGGGTCCGTGCTGCATGCTCCTGGATCCATACGGGTCCGCGCTGGTCTCTCAAGTCTGGTCTATGCGGTCTCTCTTCGGTCCGCGCTGGTCTCTGCGCACCGGTCTCTCCAGTCAGGTCACTACAGTCTATGCGGTCTCTCCTATAGGTCCGCGCTGGTTTCTGTGTGCTGGTCACTCCAGTCTCTCCTCGGGTCTGCATTGGTCTCAGCGCTGGTCCGCGCTGGATCTCCTCCCAGGGTCCAAAATATTTTGAGATTAATCTCAAAACATTTTGAGATTCATCTTTAAAATAATACATAATATATTTTTAAATTAAGCTCATAACATTTTGAGATTAATCTCATCATATTCTTAGATTTTTTTTTTTCATTTTAGTTCGACTTCATTATCATAATATTTCGACTTTTAAGTCAACATTTTATAACTTTATTCTCAGTCTGGTAAAAGAAGAAAAAGGGTGACTATTTTGCTCCGTGTAACTCTTTGCTTTAGGCCTGTTGCTGTTTCCTCAGCCGTCTGCACACGGCCCTGCAGTCCCTTATATGGGCATTAGTGGGCGGTTACTTATGCTAAGTACCTATGCTAATGAAGCACCGGGCACGCGCGCTCTACTTACGACGAAATGGGATTCATCAATCTGAGAGAACAGCTGCGAACAATTCAGCGGCTTACGAGTGCGTTGATGAATCCCACGTACGCTCTTCTTAGAAATCAAATTTGAGAACTTTCTTACGAAGTTATTCGTGAATGAGGCCCACTGATATTATATTCATGACAAATAAAGTTTGGTACCCTGCCATAGGAAAATATAGCCAAAAGACATTTAGAAAATGAGTACACTACGCAAAGGGCAGGGGGGTAGTATTATTTACAGGGATGGAATAGATGGTTTTCCAATTATGCCACGCACTACCCACAATTCCGCAGTTCGCCATATTGTGCGTCAAGCCGCCGATAGTTGTAGGTAAACAAAGCGTAGCACATCCACTTTTTGTGCTAAAAAAGGCCGACTACTTGCGTCGTTTGGGGGTGCAGTAACCGTGCAGATTGTGGGGACATTCAGAAGGTTATTACGAGCCAGGGTAACGACTCTCAACGGAGAGAAGAACCCTTTAGTTGGCCAGGATCAACCGAGAGGGATTCAACCCAAACCCCGAAAAAAGCCACTATAAGGTCTGTTCTGACCATTTCATAACAGGCAAGAGCTAAATCTGTGCATGTGTGGTTTATATTCAGAGCTGTGATTTGACTGTGATACAATAAATATATGGGCCTCAAGCGATCCCCTCTAAATGAATGGGAGGGGGAAAGGGTGGTAGACAGAAGCTTGTATGGCCGTGGGTCAGTGATTTACGGCCTGTGATATTGATTGCTTCGTTCAAAATAAATTAATGATTGAAATAAATATTGCATCATATACATCATGACCTTTATTTTAACTGTAAAACTATTTCTAGCGAAGTCCACTGGTCTCGCCGCATTTCATATGGATCCAAATCTCCAATCACTCTCAATTTATGGTTCTTACCTGACGTAATCTACGTCAAGTGACGCCGAATTCGTGACTTTTGATGACATGGGGACAATGATCCGTGCAATATAAGCTCGACACACAACATGGCGTTCGCATAATGGGTAATAAGCACGTGGTGGGAAACAATCTATTAGCAGCAAAAGGGTAAAGAGACTAGCGAAATGCCGGATGAAACTCACCTTGCTTTGCGTGGCAGAAGCCGAAGGTACAACTGGAGGTTTTGTGTCCGTCTCTGGCTTCTTATCTTCTGACGACATGGTGAGTGACAATCATATACCTCCCACTGTAAACAAAAATTAAATCAATTAACGACACACAACATGGCGTTCGCGCAAAGCATCATGGGTAGTAAGCATATGGCAGAAAACAGTATATAGATGATGCCATAAGAATTTCCTCCAGGGATAAAGGGAATTCATCAAAGTAAACATTTAATTTGAAAAACAGTTTGTCGGTTATATGGATAAACCTTTCATTTGCTCCAATCTGGTGATTTGTTATCCACCTGTATGTGTCACCATCTCTATATCTATGCATTTACTCTGGGCGAGTGATAAACTGACTCATTGAATGGACTCATGCATAGAAACAGCAGCATAAAGATTGCAAAATTAAAACCAATACACAATCGTATTTTGCAGGGAAGGAACTACTTTTCCTAAGAATATATCAAGTGAAATGCGCAATAAATAAATAAAAAATGAACAAAAAGCTAGCCCTGCACGCTACATGCTGGTAAATTGGGAAAGTAAAGGGGTCGATATCAGTATGATGATTGATTTAAAGACACATCGAGAAACGCGGCATTTATTCAGCAATCAGTGATGCACTAAAACACGTTAACTAAATCGTACTAAGATGCTGTTGACAAATTAGCAGTGTGTTAGCTTAGTTAGCTCAGCGGCCCTCCACCATACCTACCATCTTTACACTCACACAAAACGGTTCACTCACCAAAAAATGTAGTTATTTTTTGGCCAGATTTGCTCCACTCGGATACAACTCCAGGTAGAGGTTGTGTTTTTAATACTCAACAGCCACGGACCGGGTTAACGTAACCACACCGCCGAATCGTGGGATTTTGTTTGCGTGGTGCATTGGAGGAGGAGAGCTAATGCTAAAGCTAACAGCAGGCGGGTAATGCGGTGCCACTCTGAGCACGCGCACTACACCGAGGGGAAGCTGTAAGGGACAAAATTGATCATTTTCAATGTATTTTAGAATATTGTTTATTTTCACTATTTTCATTCGTTCCTTAGTTTGAAGAAAGCCATTCAAAAGGTTTTTTTTTTTTTTTTGGTCAAACCAGACCACAACATACTGCTTTCATTTGATTATAAAACGCTAAAACCCTGGGCGTCTCTATTTTACACAGAAAGGATGGCTCTTTCCTTTTTTACTCTGATAGAAACCAACAAATAATGCATGTGACAACCGGTGATGGAACCGTTTTGAGTTTGGATGGATTTTTCTCAATAATTACATTATGTGTGAGTTTATAGTTACCCCAGATTGAGGTATCTGGCCATATGCGGTATTTGTATGTGTTATTTTATTTTTTTATTTTTTTGTAATATGCGGTATTGCTTCTAATAATAATAATATGTTCATGTTCTGTACTAGTGATGGGTAAATGAAACCTCACGTATCGTTTCGGCACATCCAACAAACTGTGTTGATACTGTGCCGCAACAGTGTTGCTTGTGCTGCTCTATACTGACACCTGGTGGATCTGATAAATCATTGCATCCAACTCACTGATTCAATGAGCTTTACATACTTGTCTGCACACAATATTACGTAACTGCATTGTCTGTGTTATTTTATTTTATGTGAAAATTAAAGTGATAGTTGTGAATGTATTCATTAAGCAAAATGTCATTGAGTGATGTTTTTATTTTATTTTTATTTTTTTCAAAACAATAAGCATGTCCAAAGTGCACTGTAAACCCTGGCAACTAAAGTATACTTGAAAAAACCTTTGACATTTTCTGCACTTCAATGTCTCAAAATTATTCTTCAAGACTGTGATGTCAACATAAACTTTTGAGGTCCGACAGGGATTCGTACCCAGTTCTCTCAAACGCGAGGCGAGAGCGCTATCCACTCATCCACCATGCCTAACTAGATTTTGCGTTTCAAACTAAAGCTGGATTGTAGATAAAGCGTGAAATGTAAAATACAAACATTGCCTTATTTGCTGTTATTTGCAGTATCACACTGCAGAATACTTTCTTTTAGTGGCAGGTTCCATTTTTTATGCTGTAAAATGGGATGCTTTTCCTTTTTGAAAGGGTTATTTTCTTTTTCTGAGAGCGGTTCATACCGGTGACACTTGCAGATGCGGAACCTTTTAAACACAGTTTGCCGTGTCGGTGACAAGCGACACTGCGGCTGTATTGGTCACGTGGCTTTTTCATAAAGCGACACGCGCGCCGATACGAGGTTTCGCTAAACGAACTCGGCACATGCGCCGGTGTATCAGTGTTGCTGGACCCATCACTATTCTGTACAGATTTTGTTCACCGCCATGCAGTAGATGGCGGTAATGAGTAGCATTTCCATTGACAGAGGCGACGAGGCACTGTGGCTGTCGTTTTTTGGATCACGTTGTGTTTGTTGTTGTTTTGTAAACTTCTCCGCCCTTCCCTTTGCTTTCTCCTTTCCTCTGTGGTCCTCTAAAGATAGAAAGGAAGATAATAATACAATAAAACAGGGGCCCTCTAAAAGTGCACATTTGTCTATGGGTAAGCTGGTGTGGTTTGTTTACATGTTGGCTAAATGCTACTCATGCGTTTGGCACTAGACTGTGGTACAATTGTAGATCATATCTTGTTGTTTTTCTGACATGTGAACCCTGGCTGTATTTTCAGGACCAGATAATGCAGGGACACAGCAGATTGGAATGGGGAAGTTGTACAAGTTGAGCAGAATCAGGTATGTGTGCAAATAGCTTTTCATGGACCCAAGTATAGATCTTTTTTTTTTTCTCGTATTAGGCAGTGGTTTACAATACATTTGTGAAAGGCCACCTAACTGTATCATTATCACAGAGCGTTGATTTTTATTTATGGATTTGAGATTGAGATTTAGGAGATCTAGGATTCCATTGGTCGTCCAACAGTGGGGAAATGTCAGTGTTGCATTACAGGTTACAGTACAGTAGAAATGAATAGTTGCATGGCATCTCCAGCAATTACAATACTCAATACATTTCAATCCAATCAACAATCTCCTGTTGTTGAGTTATTGTGAGTCAAAACACAATTCACCTTTGTCCTTTTCATTCGCAGGCTTCTTTAAATGGCTTCCACGCTGCTTCTGATCCTCTGCCGTTCACCTGTTGCTCAATTTATCTAAAGATATGAATCGACTAAAGATTGAAAGCGGCAAAGGCCAATCGTCCTCAGAAAATCCTCAACCACAAAGGCGCCTGCTGGAGAATCCCCCACCTCCTGAAGTCTCCAACCCCCACAAGCCCGGGCGGCGCACAAACCAGCTCCAGTTCATGCAGAAAAAGGTGGTGAAAGCTCTGTGGAAACACCCGTTTGCCTGGCCCTTCCACAAACCAGTGGATGCCGTCGAACTTGGTTTACATGTAAGTCACCAAAAAGTGACACACAAAAGCCCATCTAAGGACAAGCGCTGTTGATTAGCTTTGGCTATAAGATATGTTAGTGATTATCAAGTTGGATTGTTATCGTTTTAAACTATTAAACTATGACACTTGGACTTGCGGGTCCAGAGACTTGGACTGATGATCGGACTCATGCATATTTTGTATGAAAAGCGCTTTATAAATTACATTCAATTGATTGACTCCTGGGAAAAGACTTTGAATCGAGTTGGACTTACGGCTACAGACTTTGTCCTGACTTGGACTTTCGGGTCCAGCGACTCAGACTTGACATTGACTCCTGGGCAGAGAGTTGGACCTGACTTGGACTTGATTCGGAATTGCAGGTCCTGCGACTTGGACTTGGCCTGGACTCCTGTGACTTGGACTTGATCAGCTCTAAAATTCTAGATTTCATGAAACATGTTGTGCTCTTTTTTTCTATTCTGTGCCCCTCAATCAAAAATGAGCCAGGACTGAACCCGGACTGTGTTTGGACTGAATCAGGACTGAATCACTGTTTTAAACTAATGATGCATCGAACCACTATAAAATAATGTGTTTTTGTAGGATTATCACGAGACCATCACCTCTCCCATGGACTTGGGCTCCATAAAGAAGAGACTGGAAAACAACTATTACTGGAGCGCTGCGGAGTGCATGCAAGACATCAACACCATGTTCACCAACTGTTACATTTACAACAAGGTGGGCCTAATCTCCACGCACACACAACACACACACACACCTACACACAACACACACTAAACATACAGCACACATGTTCACACGTGGCCAGAGTTAACTGGATTTGAGTCTTTTAAAAAAATGTTGTCAGCTAATTTGATCAACTATTACTATCTAACTCCAAGAAATGCAAAATAGAAAAATAAAGAAGATAATTAAATCGAACTGGGATGAACGTGGACCTTTTCTATATATTTTTTAGTTATTTAGGATTTTACATGGATTCTGCCTGGTATTTTTTTGTTATGTATTACAGCTATTTGTTGGCACTAGACTGTGGTACAATTGTAGATCATATCTTGTTGCTTGACTTTCAAATTCATTTAAATTACAATTATGTTTGTATTTTGACCTCTATCACAACAGCAGTCGTCTTGGGGGCCTTTTATAAAGTTGACAATCATACACAGGAAAGGCAATAACAGTAAACAGAAAGAGGAATTCTGATGTTCATAAATGTCCAAGATCATCCCTATCCTCAGATCTTCCTGCATCGGCAAGGAACGACTCAAAAAAAAAAAAATGTATATAGCAATATAGCAAAAAAGTAAGAAACGTGGGGTATTTTGCTCCCACAGAAAGGCTGTACATTCTATACCCAGGCACCAGTGCAAAAAAAACATTTGTTTGATTTCTTTATCTGAAGTATTGAGAAGTTTTAGAGAAAAGGATCAGTGTTTTTAACTGAACAATGGTCTATAAATCTAGAATCACATTCACTTTCCGTTTCTTTCAGCCCACAGACGACATTGTCCTGATGGCTTTGGCCTTGGAGAAGGTTTTCCTCAACAAAGTGACCCAGATGTCTGCCAGAGAAGTGGAGCTCAACCCACAGAAAGTGAAAGCCAGAAAAGGTATTTTAGGGAGCAAACTATATTTATTTGAACATAAAATGGTAATTATATAGATGACACAAAACAAAAGCTTCAGGTTCCTTCTTAAGACGCAATGTACCAAGAAGATAGAAGCTATAATCTGACCTAAAACAAATACTTCTAGCTTCTAAATCTAATGGCTTTATGAGGAGTTGACTTATTAAGAATTAGAATTAGAATTGCTTTTTTAGAATCTTTTTTGTCGACTTTAAACAGAAGTATCCAAAGCTTTTTTTATTATACCACACCTTAAATGTCAAAACTGGGGAAAGAGGCTGAGGGCAGGGGATTCCTCACTGTTTCATTCATTCAGAGATGTTGTTTTTCTTTCAGGAAGTCAGGAAGGAAATGTCCCAAAATCTCCACCACAGCCCTCCATCAAAGTGAGTGTTCAGTTTATGATATATATAAAAAAATACTACTTTGCAGATTACAATGCAGCGTTTTTTAATCTGATTGAATAGAATTAATGAAACCTTCAAACAAAAGTACGATCCAAATTAGATAAGACATGATGATGGTAGTATCTTAGAGTGTTCTGTTGGGACTGAAAGCTGATTGGCTGAGCAAGAGTGGTTCTCTTTATTTCACTTTTCTGTCTGAACAAGTAAGAAATGCCAAAATGTACATGAATGTGATCGAACCTGTGATAAAACCAAACTTTTTTAAAGACCAAAAAAAGTGACATTGTTCCAGGACAGCAATGATCCGTTACGGACATTGTTATCATTGAATTTCCTGTGTTTGAACGGTTTGATTTTCTGATCTGTTTTGGTGAATCATTAACTTTGTAAAGTCCTTCAAGACGTCTGCTATTGTGGTTTATGGCCACACACAAAAAATGGAATTGAAAATATCTATATTAGTTAAAAAGCACAATAATGTCTTTAACATTACTTAATAATATCTGACCATCTTTGCATGCAAAAGTCCTGTCAGACCTCTGTGGCTAAGCAGGTCAGGACCTGGTTAGGACTGTGAAGGGAGACCTCTGGGAACACCTGATGCCACAGGTGTTCCCAGAGGTTTTAAAGTGCCAAACTGTCGTTGTGTCCTTAGGCAAGACACTTCACCCACTTTGCCTTGAATGAGTCTGGTGTGTGTGTGAATGTTTGGTGGTCGGATGGGGCCGATGACACAAACTGGTTGCCTCGCTTCTGTCAGTGTGCCCCAGGGCAGCTGTGACTACAGTAGAAGTTTATCACCACATGTCCAGAAAAGCACTAAAACCAATAAAAGCAATGCATTATTGTTATGATTCTTAACTTAAACAGTAACTTGTATCTCTTATGTTTTCTGCACAGACACAGAAGAAAGGAAACAAAAAGATAAAAAATGAGCTGAAGCGTCTGGCCACAAACGCCTTCCTGCCAGAGGGAAAGAAGAGACGGGAGAGCGAGGCCCGAGCGGGGGGCCCTCTGACTGAACAGCTCTGTTTCTGTGAAGAGGTCCTGAAGGAGCTGCTGTCCAAGAAGCACGAGGACTACGCCTGGCCCTTCTACCGCCCCGTGGACGCCCAGGCCCTGAGTCTGCACGACTACCACGACATCATCAAGTACCCCATGGACCTGGGCACCATCAAGGTGTGCACACACTCACTCTTAGTATAGTATCTAGTATCTAGTAGTAAATAGTTACGGCTTTTGATACTTGTTCTAGTACTTATGTAAAAAATATTGTGTTCTGCCTAGAGCTGCAGCTATCGAATATTTTGGTAATCAATTATTCTATCGAATACACCGATCAATTAATCGAGTAATCAAGAAAAAAAAAATGGTCTAATTAAAAATATACAATATCAAATAAAAACCATTTAAAAACTACAACTATTTACAATTTTTAAATTGTATACAGTTTATTGCGCTTATATCAAATGAAGACAAGGCAGCAGGTAAGATGCCGCAAATAAACCTCTGTATGCAAAGCATCAAGGCAGCCGAATTTAATCGACTATTCTTAATAATCAAATTATTAGATTAATCGTTTCAGCTCAAGTTCTGCCCCATTTGAACAAATCTTTTACATGAATTCATATAATTTATTGGAATTAATCCACCTCATAGTTCTGCTTGCATTGTTTTAATCTCTGATTATTACAATTCGATTAACAGATTGAAATAGATTTAAATATAAACATTACTGAATAAAAATATATATTTCATCTAATATAAAAAAAAAAGATATTTATCTATAAACCATAGTACATTTTTTTTTTAGCAGTGCTGCTGGTGGTATGTGAAATATAATCTTTACAATCATTTATTTTATTTTATTTACTGTATTGTTTTAAACTCCATTTGAAAAATGCATTTAAAAAACACAACACAATTATTCATAAATGCTTTTATTGGACGCTAAGTAAAACGTGTCTTGGGGCCACAAAGTTTTACATAAATTCAAGTTCTTCTTAAATAGTTTAAAATGTATCAAGAAATGTCAAATGCTCTGTTTTTGTGGATTTTGCATGAGATATTGTCTGTCCTTTTCACGCCGTCTCTTTCTTGCAGTAAATTAGCACCAAAAAAACCTTGATAACTTTGACCTCCCTCAAACCCAAACGTCTAGACTTTCGGTGGGATGAAAGAGAGAGCTGAAGCAAATGACTTTAAGCCCTTCTCCGCAGACAAAGATGGAGGCGCGGCAGTACCCAGACGCTCAGGCCTTCGCCGCCGACGTCCGACTGATCTTTTCCAACTGCTACAAGTACAACCACCCCAATCTGGACGTGGTCACCAAAGCCAGGAAACTGCAGGTAGCCTTTCTTCACTAAGTAACATTATATATATATTTTTTGGCACATTCTAATCTCGCGGCACATGCTGTCTCTGCTCAGGGCGTGTTCGAGCAGAGATTTGCCAAAATGCCGGAGGAAGCGGTCGACTCCAGTTCTACTTTAAGCACTTTACATCTTGGGGCCGAGGAGAGGGACGTACCCAGCGACGAACCCAACAGAGTGGACGAGTTGCACGAGCAGGTTTGAAGTGGTTTTGAATACTACTTCTACTACTACTACTACTAAATACTGCTTGAATTAGATGATTTATCTTCTCAGTTAGAGTCCATTTTCTGAATATAAGATGTGCCATTAGGAAAAGCAAAACTGTAAACTTTTTAATGTAAATTCTCACTTTGGATGAGAAATAGATTGCCAGTCAAGTTTTTTTGTATAGCATAGTTTATACAAAAGGGAACTCGCCGTACTTAACAAAACAAGATAGAAACATTCATACAAGGCATTCAGATCATAAGTAATCACAGTACATTAAAAAGAGTAAAGATACAATCCTTCAGTTGTATGCACAGCTAAACAGAACTGTCTCACATTTTAAGGAAGACTGTTCCATATTTTAGCTGCATAAATCAACGGTGCCACCCCACGTTTAGTCCTGACTCAGAGTTGATTCCTGTGGCACCAGCATGTCATTTTTGTGCTTTGGTGTGAGGCCGTGGAGAGACTTGTAACGAGCAGAGCTGTTTTTAAGTCTATTCTCTGAGGTACAGGAAGCCAGTGCAGAGACCTGAGAACTGGTGCGGGTACTTCCTGGTTCTAGTCTGGACCCCATCTGCAGCGTCTTGAACATACTGCAGCTGTGTATTGTAAATGCTCTTTAATTAAACTGCTTGTCTCATCTGCAATACTTGCTTTAAGAAAATCCAAATGCACTCAATTAAAGAGAAAGAGCACTTGATTCAACCATCAGCATTTTTATTTTATACTTGTTTTTTTATGCTTGTTTGGTGAGTGATTACAGATAAGTTTTATATGGATTTTATACATAGAGTAGTTCAATTCATTTCAAAATGGTTGGTTTTAGATGAAATTTATTTGGTCAAAAAATGTTGGTTTTGATGTTTCCTCAGCTTCGAGCCGTTCACGAACAGCTCATGGCACTTTCAGAAGGGCCTGCGAACAACAGAAAACACAACAAAGACCAAAACAGGTAATCCTCGTCAGAAAAGTAGAGACACATTTTTGCACAAACAACTACATACATCAGATATACAGACCTGTAACTGTGGCCGCATTTCCAATCATTTAAAATCTACATATTTACTCATTTTTTATTTGATAAGTGGATAACAATAGCGATTTTGCATTTTATCTGGATTGTGGTTTCCCTGGGATACAGCAGCTGGGGTTAGGTACCTCAGCTCTATACCATTCCCCAGCTCTACCGTCACCCATGTACATTACACACACAGAGCCGTTTTCTGCCTCTAAAGTCAAATTTGACCCGCCACAGCGATTACAAAATGATGTGCCAATACTTAAAAATGATTTCTCCTACTATTTCCTAACTTGACCAGGCACATTTAGACACTAATTGAGGGTCTAAAAGTTTCTAATTTAAATCACCATGATGGGTCATTTCAACCTGAGGGTAGCACAAGGATTTAAAACAAAAGTAGCTCCCATAAATGTAGTTATTTTACTTTGGTGAAATTTTGTTCTTTAAAATCTCTCAGCCAATCAGCTCTCATCTTTAAATGTCAAATAGTGACTCACAGGGCTCTTTCTAACAAGTATGCAAAAGATAAAATGCTGTGGTCTGATTTGTTCACAACATTTTACGTTTACAAGACACATTTTTTATGAAACTCAAAAATGTGGGTACCCCAGCTTTAACTACCCTGTGTCTGTTCGCAGTCAGCTCTCAGGTCACGGTGGCGCGGACAATGACGCTGCGCCAATGACGTACCAGGAGAAGCACCAGCTGAGCCTGGACATCAACCGTTTGCCGGGTCTTGAATTAGGCCGCGTGGTGCGTATCATCCAGAAGAGGGAGCCGTCGGCGGGGCAGTCGGACCCAGACGAGTTCGAGATCGACTTTGAGGCACTGCAGCTCGCCACGCTGCGCAAAGTGCAGAGATACGTGCGCCGCTGCCTCTACCAGCAATTCCAGCAGTACCAGAGTGAGTGCAGCGTGAACTTGGTGTTGTGGGTTTTGTGGGGAGCAACAACCTCGCAGCCAACCAGAGGCGACGCTGGTCCGTCCTTACAGGCGCTCCTGGATCGCCAAAGCTGTATTTGTGGACAGAAGTCTGCTGATTGGTTATCTATTAGGGCTGGCGTTTTGTCATTTAGGGCAGGGGATTTTGCCTTTTCAATGCCTCGGTACAATGCATTTTTTCATTTCATTTTATTGACGCCCACTGCAGCTTTTTTATTGTATATTGGTTTTATTGGTGTTTTTTTGGACAGTCAAAGAAGCTTTACAGTCATTCACTCCTTACACGGTTGTGATAAAGTACTTGTGTGGCCACAGCTGCCCTGGGGCACACTGACAGAAGCAAGGCAACCAGTATGTGCCATCGGCCCCCACCACCACCACCAACCATTCACGCACACACCGGACTCATTCCAGTGGGTAAAGTGTCTTGCCTAAGGACACAACAACAGTTTGGCACTTTACAGCCACAGCCGCCCCACTGTGGCACCTGGTGTTCTCCCATCACAGTATAAACAGGCCCTGCCCTGCTTAGCTTCAGAGGTCTGACGGGATCTTATGTCTACATATGTGTTGTTTGCAGGAGAATGCAGTGACCCAGCGTCGCAGTCGCTCTACAGCAGCAGCTCCTCAGACTCCAGTGAAGAGTCCGGCTCCGAAACCTCAAACATGTGACTTCTGCATGTCCTCTTTGAATGTTAACAGATGTTATTTTTTATACAATACTAAAATATACTTCTATATGTTTTCTTTTTTCTTCATCCCATTCATATTTTTTTTCTTCGTTTGGTTTTTACTTCCTCAAATTATCAGTGTTGCTGCTGCTTTAAACAAAAACCAGGAAAACAAGTGTTGCCTTTTTCTGAACCATTTCGTGATTGGATTCAAATAAACTCAGATAAATATGTCAATGTTTTGGTCGTTTCTGGTTGAATCTTTTCAGGAAGTACATTTTCCGGCCAGCAGATGGCACTGTGGATCAGCTTCTAAAAACGACACGTTCAAACAACCCTGTCTCAGTCCTGTAACAGTATGTTGTCATTGTACCTCTATGACATCACACTCAAAGCCGTTTTCTGCCTTTAAAGTCAATATTACCCGCCAGTGATTCAAAAATACATTAAATAATATTTTTTTTTGCTGAATTTTGATAATCTTTCCCTAATATTTCCTAACTTGACCGGGCAAATTTAGACACTGCGTTTTGATACTACTCAATAAATTAACCTTGTAGGAACTTAATTTATTCTGGAATTTGATGGGGAAGCGGACATAATGTTTCAGGGCTTTACCTTTTCAGAGATCAAGGACGACTACAATCAATAAATACACTAATAAAACGTTTAATTGTGTCAACATACAGTATAATCTAATTTGACAAATAAGAGTTTCTATTGAACAATAACATCTGATTTGTGGGTGTACCTACGTATGCACATCTACAAGTCACCTGTTTATTGCATTTTTGTTCACTAACTGCTTCACCTTATGAGAGTTTTAAGAGGTGGGATATTAGATTACATAATATTTGTCATTGTTTTGTGTAGTGTGTTGTTCTTCCAGTCACTGCATCACGGAGAAAGATTCCGTCTGACAGCGGTGGTGGCTCCCCCATCTGCAGAAAGAAGCTGGACAAGGTCATCTGGAAGTCCAGCTCTGACCTGGGCTGTCCCCTGGTGCGGCAGGTGTGGGACAGGAGGGTCCCGATAAAAGTGGCTGTTGAGGGGCCAAACCTGTCAGCACTGATAGAAGATTGTGTGTTATCTGTCTATATGTGTTTTAGTTGTAAATATAGGCAATGGGAAATGTAAATATAACTGATGTAGAGTTAATGAAATGTTGTGAATGGTAAAGTGTTGCTGATAAAGACAGATGTATGCTTTCATATTGTATATTGTAATTTATTTCTCGTGACCAGGGACTGCAGATGGAGACTAGCTATAGTCTGGTGCAGAACATATATCTGTCTTTATGAGATTAATGTTTCTGTAAACTGTCCCTTTAATAAGGTAAACCTAACCTGGACACTTTCTGCTACTGGAGAGGTCCTACATGTTGTTCATTGCAGCTGCAGTCAGACTGTACAATGAACACTACAGAGTGAGTACATTGTATCATTCACCTGTAATGTGCACTGTTGCTTCACATGTGACAGCTGTAATTAGATAATAATAATAATACATTGTTTTGTGGGCGCCTTTCAAAATTCCCAAGGTCACCTTACAGGCAGCATAAAAAAAAAAAAACATGTATTATCAATGTTTTTTTATTTTTTATAATCATGTTTACAGCTCTCCCTATATTCTTCTTGGTCTTGAATTGTCCTTTCTAGGAGCACAGGGACTGGTCTCCTGCTGGTGCCCAGAGTCAGAACTAAACATAGGGACACTGAAAAAAGTAAAGGCTTGGTAAAGATTGATTTAGTATAAAATGCTTATTTTTTATTAGCATTTTTATTTTTATTTTTTTGCTTGAATGTACTTTGTCATGTAACATTATTTTACCAGTTTTAATAATAATACTTCATAATTTGTTTCTTACTGTATATCCAGAAATCTTTTAGATAAAATAAGGACATTTTCAGAAAACAAATCTCAAACAATTTTAGGAAATAAATAATTCTTAAAATATATGTTTGTATTCCAGAATCAAGTCATTTGGGGCTTGTATTATTTTCTTATTTCCAAAGTCTTGTCAAGTATTTTTTTCCAGTCAGCATCTAAAATCTGAATCAGTGTTCCTAAAAAATGGAAGAAAGGCTTCTAAAAAATTCTGTTCAGCTGTGCATACAACTGAAGGTTAGCATCGTCACTCTTTTCCATGTGATTATTTATGATTTATCTGAAGGCCTTGTGTGCTTTTTTTCTAGCTTGTTTTGTTCAGCACTTTGCGTTACCTTGTTTATGAACTGTCTTGTCTTGCCATGCAGCACAGACAATTCTACCTCAATCGTTCAAGATTCAAGAATTTATTTGCCATTTGCAGTAAAACCACATTGGAAAAACTGTGCAAGACTACCCCAGTGTGCAACATCATGAACCAACGCATCATTTTGGACTGCTCATTTCTTCAGTTGTCTTCTCATGGATCACACACACACATAAACATTTCATAAATAAGACCGCCTTGAGAAGAAGACGAGCTGGATTCCTCACACGTCACAGTCTACCCACCACATAAAGATGAAAGAAGTAGGTAGAAGGAGGTATTCAGAGCATGTAAGGTCCATCCATCAGTGACCACCTCTGTGCTTTCTCTGTGCGTGGTGTTGACCTGCATTCTCCTCACGGTTCATACTCCACTCTGGACCGCAAACCTGATCGCTGCGTGATCGATCAATGCCACAGCAGCAAGCGGTCACCTCTGTCCAAACACACCATCACTCATCCCATACACGGAATATGACCACACAGCACCGCACGCATGTTTTTAAGACCAAAAGCTTCTGTATGAATGTAGCAATGTTGAAAATTATGTTTAAAATCTGCATCACAAGTTATGTTTTTTTCAGCAGTGAATCTTGAAGTTGTGGGATTAGTATTACCTGAGGACCTCTGGTAATTTGTGATAATCACGGAGGACGTCTGAGATCTTAGTCCTGTGCGAATGCGCCATGTCTGTAATTTGTAAAGTAATAATTCTGCCACAAAATACCTCCTGTATTTGTCCAAACACAGACGTCCTCTGATAACACTAATCCCGTCCGAATAGAGCTTTATAGTGGTTTTGCATTCGTCAAAGGAAAATATGGTTATGGTAATCAGAATCAGAATCCTTTTATTGCCATGTGAGTAACAGGGAGTCACAAACTAGGAAATTGCTTTGGCTCTTGGTGCAAACAAGTTAAACCAGAATAACATCAAGAAGGCATGCATGGAAAAAAATCTACATAATGTGGTATCTTTAAGACAATTCACACACAAGAAAAGCTTATATTTTTCTTTATTTTAACATTCAGGTTTCAACAACATTAACTAGTGTTGAAATAGACCAGATTTGGCCATTATGCACTAACAACAAGGGGGAACGCAGCAAGAATATAAGTACAATCACGAAAAGAAAACTTAAAGGATAAATTGATGGTCTGGCATATGGACTTTAAAGCTGGGGTACCTAAGCTCTTTGTCCCAAATGAATGAATGAATGAATGAAAATACTGTGAACAAATCAGAGCACAAAATGGTGTCTTCATTTTATTAAGCTAAGAAAACTGACAGTGGCTCAGTTGGTACAGCATTGGCCTTTGAGCCTGAAGGTCGTAGGTTCGATCCCCCTTTGAGACCTACTCCAACTGCTCCTACTCCTGTCTGGTGCAATCTGACAGCAGCAGGAAGGAAAGACAGAACCTCTCCTTATCACTGAGAGGGTGAATAAGTTTGTCACTGAAGCTACTCTCCAGGGCGGAGAGAGTGTCCTGCAGAAAACATGATAGATTTTGCATACTGGTAAGTTATCCGTGAGTCACTATTTGAATCTTTTTTTACTTTTCTGTTTGAAAAAGCTGATCTAAAGATGTGACAGAGGCTAAAAATACATACATTTGAACAATAAATAGTGATAGAACCAAACTTTTGAGAGCAGGGAACTAATAGATTGTTCCATTATCTGTGTTTAGTACCCAGCTTTAAGTATAAAAGTAAGTGTTTGGGTTTTGTCCGTCTGCTAATAAAATTAATACAAACGTTGTCAACAAAAAACCCTACATTACCCCAAACCCCAGAGGGAGCTGATGAGGACATGTGAAGTGTAGAATCAGTTTTAAATTCTGAACAGTGTGGTTCTTGGGAGACCCACTAAAGAGGCATGAATGTCACACATCACTTTGCATAAGCCCCGTGCCTAATTTACTGTGTGTTTGGGGACTTTCAGACCCCAGTGCAGCTCAGCGGGCACAAGGGCTAAACTCAGAGGATGTAAAGAATTATGAAGAAATTGTTCTTGGTCTATTTTTTTTACTGAAGGGCACAGGCTACATTCATACTGTAGAGAAGCAAGTTTCTCATTTCATAAAATATTGAGAGTTTTCCTGGTCACTAAAGAACAGCTACTATTATTGTTGCCAACACTGTGTGTGCGTTTGTGTTATCGTTTTAGAATATTTGTTTGTTCATTCATTTTTGTTTATTTTAATCTTTATTCACATAACACTTTTCACAGATAAGGGTTAAAAATACTTTATAATTTGATGTATTTTCCATACACTACACACAGGTAATACACTATTGTAGCCACAGCTGCACCTGGGGCACACTGATTTCTGCACTACATTGAATGGAGCAGTCAAAATGACTGGGAGATAAAAGGTACAGATAAAACTACAGACATTTCGAAAATAAAACACAAATTCATAAACGGTAATGTCATAGAAATAAACTACATATAGGGACAGAGAAAATAAAGTTATGAAGAGCAGGAATGTAAATAATCTGAGTAATAACGCTTCCGAAACCAAAAAAAGCCGTCAATTTGACTACTCTGTCAGTTCCAGTCGGTTCTAGTAGCTTCAGGATCCCGATAGAACTTGCAAACCTCCCTTCTCGCCACCAGATAGCGCTCCAATCCCTACCACACACACCAAGGCTCTCCCGATCCAAAACTCCCATCCGTGAAACGTGTTGTCAATACTTTCCAAACATTTTTAGTTATCCAAGTTGCGTGCGTGTGTGCTCGTCGTCTTTCCACCACAACACACACACACACACACACACACACACGCACGCAGACCCACATCCTACACCGCACAAATACACATTTTACTCTAACATTGCCTCGCTCCTTGGGACTCCCTCTCCACACGCACGTCCGCGCGTGTGTGTGGTGTGGTAGCGGAGAGGGGACACGAGCGGAAGGAAGCCAGAGAAAGGAAAAGGGAGGAATCAGTGAAAATCAAAGCAGCAGCGGTGGTGGAGGCGGTGTGGCTCGCGAGTGCGCGTTTGGAGCAGTCCCCGTGCGTAAAAGTACCGCTGGAAACCAAACCCCAAACAGGCACTTTTTACGCGCGCCTCGCTTGGACCGTGGGCACGTTTTTCGCCTTGTTCTGCGCTTTCAGCTCGCGTCGTGGACACACAAGAGACAGAGGATGTTCTGACTCTATTCCCACCCAGTTCTGGGGACGTGTCTTTCTGTCATCTCCCCGGGTAACTCTATTTTCATACCCTTTTGTGGATAAACTACGCGTTTTTTTGGGACTACATTTTTTCTACGCTCTGGCAATGTGAGGCGACTCCACGCATCCAGCTGTCTCTCTCCCTCTCTTCTTGACAACAACAAGCACGACTCTGTGTTTGGAAAGTGGATACGCGTGGAAGCAAAGTTTGGAGTTAGAATGAAGAGGAGAAAATTGACATAACTGCTCTTGTTGTTGGATTACTGTTTGCAGACATATGCGCGTCGCTTCAAACCCCCAAGTTGGCATGCTTGCTCGCGTCTGGAGTGCTCGTAAAGTTGCCTCATTTCCTTATTGATAGTGAATAATTAACGCTGTAGTTAACGACTGGATTATTTCTGTGACTGGGGGCTGTGTTCTGCTTTGAAAAGTTCACTTCAATTCAGCTGCCACGCGTGTACAATGCCCACACACAACTACCACAGCGCTTAACCCTAAAGCCAAAACATACAGACATCCACTGGAACCTATACCAGCCATTCAAGCGGCGTCTTCTTTTCCTTGTATTTGGATTAGTTTGGGGATTTCTCACGCAAAAACATGGAGGAGTGGAGGCAATGCGGTCGCTGGCTCATCGATTGCAAGGTGCTGCCCCCGAACCATCGCGTCGTGTGGCCCACAGCGGCAGTTTTTGACCTGGCTCAAGCCCTAAGGGACGGGGTGCTGCTGTGCCAAATGCTGCACAATCTGTCCCCAGGATCCGTGGATCTTAAGGAGATAAACTTCAGACCTCAGATGTCCCAGGTAAGGCGCTGGTTCTTTGGGATGTGTGTGATGGAGGTTGGAAGGGTGCAGACTGCTGGTGGGTGTGTTGCTGTTGTGAGGTTTTGAACTTGGGGATACTTGTGGCTGCCTGTCATTGTTGATGGATGTATAAGAAATGTATAGCTGCTCGCTTTGTTATGCATATATATGTATTTGAGACCCAGTTTAAAATCATGTTTGACGATGGTTTTAGGAGGCTGGCAGGGCCGGTCCTAGTCTTCAGGGGGGCTATAGGCAAATGTGGTTTGAGGGGCCCCACTCCACAACAACTCACTCAGGCTTGTTGATGAGTCACAGTTCACAATGTATTATTAAGCTGTATTACTTGACGCTGTTTTTGTGAATGAACAATGAATGTTTGTGATAGAATAGATGCTATGGTGTATGTTGTTGGACTGTATATGACTGAATATCACTCTATCTATACCCATTTATTTTACATCATGACACAAATTCGGGGGTCCACTTTCAATTTATTTTGTTTTTATTGAAGTTGGACTGTGTTTACTGTCTTGAGGTCTGGAAGAGTTCTGTTCCTGTGCCTTTTTTCTCTTTTTAATATAGGCAATTTGTTGGAATGTAGTATGTCAAAAGCTATGTGTAAGCTATTGAGTAATTACTTTTTTATTTTAATTATTTATTTTAGCAATAAATTAGAAATAGTTATCATCAGCTCCCAGGTGAGAATATTCATCCTTTTAACTCCTCCCTCCATAAGTTTTCTTTTGAGTTTTAATATTGTCCACATGGCTTAAGTTAAAAAATCTTTCATCATTTCTAGAGCATTCTTGCGGAGGTCCGCTGTAGCTACCTAGTCCTTGTATTGGATAGGGCCGGCCCTGGATGCTCGGGGGATAGATCTAACTTTTTACTCGGCCATGGTGTGCTTCAAATGATTTGTGTCTTTGAAATTGTCAATTGTTTTAGTGCCAGATTAGAGATGGATAACATTGTATTACATGCAGATCATACACAAAGGTGAATGGAAGAATAAACAAATTGTGAAAAGAAAAAATACATTACAAAAGTCCTGTTTATATGTGGTTTATACTTGGAACCATGAAAGAGAAAAGCCCTATTTCACATGGTGTAACTTGAAACACTAAAGCCTGTCTCTAGGGACATGATGCTTTGAGTGAGTAAGGTGGAGAAGCTTTTATGTAAAGTTTAACCTTGTATCATTGTTGTATCTTGGCTATTTGGTTTTGTAAAACTCTCCAAAAGATAGTGTGGTCCCTGCATTTGTGTTATCATGGCCAGTCTTGTGGTATTCCATCCCCAGTGCAGTGTAGGTCCGCAGATCTCAGCAAAAGACTTCAAACTTGCCCTGACAAGCCTTCTCTCTTTGCTCTGTGTGAGTCAATCCAAAACTTCTACCCCAAGGAGGTATTTATTTCATTCACACGTGTTTTACAACTCGATTTCAATATCCAACAAGGAAATGCTCATGCCCAAGACTCACACTGTAACCTGTGTGTATAAGCTCCACCTTGACATTCAGCCAGCGGTTCCTATTTTGGTTGTTTCAATTCTATTTTTGCTTTAAGATCCTGGAAATGGACCAGGAAAGTGTATTATCGGTGCTTTGTTTTTAACATTTTGACGTTATAATAAATGCATGTCTGGTTAATCACAGGGACTGGCTACTATACAAATAAACTTGCCTTGCCTTAACCTTATCCCGGTAGAGCAATTATGTCTTTTGCATTTGACCGATCCTGCAATACTACAGTAGTTTCCTGCTTCGTCAGGACAACCAGAGCTGGAGGATTTTACCTATTGTTCATGTGTTTAGTGGTAAGGACAAACCGAAGCACCTGAAGGAAGCCTACACAGGGAGAACAGCCCAACTAGGGTTGGGCGATATGACACTGATTGGCCAAAAGGTAGACGCTTAAACTGTGATTACTGTGTGTGTATTTACCTCTGCTGGGGCCGCTGTGACAACAATACAGAGACAGACACACGGTGTGAATGCCGTGCTGTTGTTCGTTGTTTCCAGTGGTGTCTGCTAGGCTAATAGTGCTAGGCTAATGCTGCTGAATGCCGGTTTGTTTTGGTCCTTTCTGCTGGCGTCAGAGCCTGCGCAATTTGATGACATAAAGACCTATTGCAATATGCCGGTATAACAAAAATCTCTACCGTGGGCCAAATTTATATCGCATACCGCTTATACCATTTATATCGCCCAGCCCTAAGCCCAACTCCACTCAGAAACCCAGGAACTTCTTGCTGAGAAGTTAAGCCTAGTTTATACTCGCGCGGCGCGGAGCTTACGGAGGTGACGTGACGTCACTTGCGCAACGCGTTGGTCACCGCAAGGCCCTTACGTTGCCTGCCGCGCAGCATCGAAATTTTCTAACTACGTAAGGGTCGCCGCAAGGAATCTCCGCTGTGATTGGTCCCTGTGTGTGTATTGGAAGGAAGCACGGAGCGGCTGCAGCATGGACATGGACGAGGCACTATGGAGCAGAGAGCTTTGTGCTTCGAAGGAAAAGCAGTTTGGGCTCAGAGCCTGATATACAGGAGACTGTGGACTATCTAACATATATATAACTTATAAACTGTGCAGTCGTTTGTTTTGCACTGTTCCTGTCTTTGTTTGAATCGTAGCTGTGTTTGTTGCTTTCCTCCTGCACTCGTAAATCGTTCATGTTTGTCTCAGATATTTACCACTATTATTGTTTTGCTGTTTGTGCTGAAAACTATTTAATAATAACTATGTTTCCAACAAGAACTGTGTCTTTATTCACAGCATCACAGTTGAAATGACTTATAAAATAATGAATCCATAAAACTATCACATAAACCTACAGTAGAAACACGTGTAATGAGCTCAAACAGCTTTGTTTGCTATTGTTGTTCTGAAGAGGACAAAGTAGCAGCGTAAATGGGACCGCTCATGTGTGATCGCCCTCATGTGGTTTGTTGTGGGATTACAACATTCTCCTCAAAACTCCGTAAGGGGAACGCGCCAGTATAACATCAATTGTGCTTACGTAGGTCCATCGCAACCGCTAACGTAAGCCTCGCCGCGCAAGTATACACTAGGCTTTAGAATGCTAACCACTCAGCTCTGTCCGTTATATAAGTTGTTGACAGAGGTTAAGTGCCGGCATAGCTCAGTTAACGATTACTCCTATAAAATGATTTTTTTATTGGTCCTTCGGCAACATCAGTCACATCAGGCAACACTGTTTATTTATGCACCAAAATGGTTCAGACAAAAAATGATTGTTTATGTTTCAAAACATGGTTTGAATCATCATTTCACTGGAAACATAACAAAAGAAAATGCATTATAAGGCTTTTTTTTTAGTTACGTTTCCAGTGAAGTGATGATTCAAAGTGCTTGGAGTTGCTTTTGCCAGAGAAAATTCAGCGTCTTGGAAATCTGTGGTGATGTGGTCTTGTTCAAAAAGCGTAATCAAAGTAAACACACATTTCTTTTCTTTACGAATACAGAAAAGAAGATATATCTTTTAGACATAACACTCTATTTACAAGGAGCGTAATGAGGGAAATCAGTGTCTTCAACTTTCAGTAGTTTTTACGTTTATCCAATTTTGAATATGACCCGTATCTATGAAAGAGCTTTAGCAGCAGCTCGAACATGGATTTCCTCTCACTATGTTGGGTCATGAGGGATTCCTTAAGTACAAAATACAAATTGTGTCAAGGGCGGTCTTACATTTGCCCGTGCCCAAATGGGACCCGGTGTGATCAGTGGCGTGGACATGAATATGGGTTGGCTGCGTCAGAATTACTCAGTCATTAGTGTGCCAATGAGGACATGGGAAATGACTTAAAAGTAACAATTGGACTGTTGTATTTTTAGATGGACTAAGGTAAAACTATGTAAAATCCACTTCATAGTAGCAATGAATAATATTTTGGAATAAAATACAGGGCACATACAAACTATGTGCAAACATTACTTTTTAGCTTTCAAGTCAATAAGTAACTTTATGTAACACATTTCACAGACCAAGGTGACACTTTACAATGTTTGGTGTACCAGTGACTTCCATGTCCACCAACCATAACCATCAGTTATTTCTGGTGATTTCAATGGTTTTGTTAAGTCCTCTGAGATGACTTCTGTTGTGACCTAGGGCTATACAAGAATAAATTGTATTGTATTGTATTGTATTCTCAAATCATTTCATAATTCACATTTTCATTTGCAACATAATCCACTATCGATTTGTTTGACCTGTTTTCCCTTGCAATTCATCACAATCAAGCCACATTTAAAAAACACAAAAACTGAATTCTGCCCAAATGTGTTTTAATTTGGGAATGAACATCTAAAAAATATTTATACCTGAACGGACACGTAGACAATGCACATACTGGATACATTAAGCACAAATGCTTGCTCCAAAACAGCCCTTTTCCCAAATTTATATTCCCCTCGTTCTTGAAGCTACCACTAAATCGATTGTGTTTGTAATAGGGCGACAGTAGCTCAGTTGGTAGAGCATTGGCCTTTGAGCCAGAGGGTCGTGGGTTCGAGCCCGACTTTCACCATCGACTCCCCCTGTCTGCTGTCGTTGTGTCCTTGGCAAGACACTTAAACTCTGGGAACACCTGATGCCACAGTGGGGCGGCTGCGGCTGTGAAGTGCCAAACTGCCGTTGTGTCCTTAGGCAAGACACTTCACCCCCATTGCCTAGAATGAGTCTGGTGTGTGTGTGAATGGCTGGTGGTGGTTGGAGGGGCCGATGGCACATACGGGTTGCCTTGCTTCTGTCAGTGTGCCCCAGGGCAGCTGTGGCTACAGTAGTAGTTTATCACCACCGTGTATGGAGCGAAAGAATGACACATGTGAAGCGTCTTTGAGTGTCCAAAAAAGCGCTATATAAAACCAATGCATTATTATTATTTCATTATTATTAGTTAGCGTGACATAAACGTGATTGCATTCTTGTAATAACTTTCAACTGCAAACTTATTGGTAGTAGCAGACTGTCCGGTCTGAGCTGAATTTCAAGTTCTAAAACAAAAGAAAAACACAAAAGTCATTAATAATAGGTTATGAAACAAACTAATTATAAAAACTT